GGTTGGGCTCGGGTGTCTGTGTAATAGTTCAATAAATGAATTTATATATATGGGTTGATTTTCAGCACACTCTTCACATCTTGCTTTAGCGGGAAGCAGAACCAGTGGAAAGGGGAGGTGGGCAATTTATGAGTGTCGTGGTGGTGGTAGTAGTTGGTATTCATCAAGGGAAAAAGTGATCATCAAACACAATCACCAACCTGTAAAACAAGGTAATCTCATAACACTGGCGAGGGACATACTGAAAAAAAGACATTTGAGAAACTCACTGTAATATTGTTTATGTCATATGAGTAACTCCTAGATAAAACCGAAGTAACTCTATACATTTTACCATCAACAACAATGCACTTCAAAAAGAAGGAAATACATTACATATAATAATATGTATTATGTCAAAGTCTTGGAAGAGTTAAACTAAGGAAACGAAGGCAAAGAAGGGCGCCAAGGTGGTTGGAAGTAAGGAACTAGTCTATCCTTTGCCGAGACAGTTCCATTTCCATGATACTGAATTGGTTCCAATCTTCTAGTCCTAAAATCATAGCAAAACACCATGCTTCCCCGCCTAAGATACAGAAGCTTTGCATTGCGAGGATGAAAAGCTATCAAACGAATTTGAGGAGGTATGTGAGGAAGAGAATATCACGTGTCAATCGGTAACAAATTAAACTTAGGATAACTTAGAGAATATTTAACTCAGAAGATCCAAGTCCTGCTACCATGACCCCAATTCATGTGAAGAGGAAGAAGACCCATTTATGGGTATTCTTGTAATTTTAAAGTAATAAATATCAACTTTTAATTTAATAGTAAATCATAAGATCAAATTCGATATTTCACAACCTGGTAAACGGGTCGGACATGGATAATTGGGCAATGTGATAACTTTTTAAAGTGTTGGTGGTTTTCTAAAATAGGTTCGGGATTTATGATCAAAATTTTGAAAGTAATAGCAGTTTTATGGAATTAATCCCTGTTTTTCATTTATAATATTGTAATTTGAAACTTGTATAATTTAAAATAATATTTAATTTAAAACTTTTATAATAACCTCAATTGTTTTCCCTCGTCTCTTTCACCCATACTATCACCCATACTAGGATGGATACAAATTTCTAAAGGATGAAGGGTTATGACTCATTCCTGCCTGTAGGACAATCAAAACCTTCTTTCAACTTTGAATTTGTAGTTGAAGATCAAACCTTGCTTCTAAATGGAACCTTTGAATCTCTGATAGATCCGACTAGATGTAGAATATCACTCTAAATCACTAGTGTGCTCAAGTGTGTACTCAAAAATATAAAATCAAAATTTCTTGAAATTTTTTTGTCAAAAAGCTTCAATAATGATCTAAATATAATACTTTATTTTTTCCTAATTAAAACATATTAGGTTTCATGTCTTGAAAGGTTTATATAGACGAAAAAGTCGTAAAACATATGGAGATAGATGTTTTAAAATGATAGAAGGACCTTCTTTTTATAAGTTTTGGTGCAAAAGAAGAGAATAAGATTACAATGTACGGGAATTCATAGAGAGGAGATTGTGTATTTCTATCTTTTTTATTATTCCGGTTGGGCTCGGGTGTCTGTGTAATAGTTCAATAAATGAATTTATATATATGGGTTGATTTTCAGCACACTCTTCACATCTTGCTTTAGCGGGAAGCAGAACCAGTGGAAATGGGAGGTGGGCAATATTTGAGTGTCGTGGTGGTGGTAGTAGTTGGTATTCATCAAGGGAAAAAGTGATCATCAAACACAATCACCAACCTGTAAAACAAGGTAATCTCATAACACTGGCGAGGGACATACTGAAAAAAAGACATTTGAGAAACTCACTGTAATATTGTTTATGTCATATGAGTAACTCCTAGATAAAACCGAAGTAACTCTATACATTTTACCATCAACAACAATGCACTTCAAAAAGAAGGAAATACATTACATATAATAATATGTATTATGTCAAAGTCTTGGACGAGTTAAACTAAGGAAACAAAGGCAAAGAAGGGCGCCAAGGTGGTTGGAAGTAAGGAACTAGTCTATCCTTTGCCGAGACAGTTCCATTTCCATGATACTGAATTGGTTCCAATCTTCTAGTCCTAAAATCATAGCAAAACACCATGCTTCCCCGCCTAAGATACAGAAGCTTTGCATTGCGAGGATGAAAAGCTATCGAACGAATTTGAGGAGGTATGTGAGGAAGAGAATATCACGTGTCAATCGGTAACAAATTAAACTTAGGATAACTTAGAGAATATTTAACTCAGAAGATCCAAGTCCTGCTACCATGACCCCAATTCATGTGAAGAGGAAGAAGACCCATTTATGGGTATTCTTGTAATTTTAAAGTAATAAATATCAACTTTTAATTTAATAGTAAATCATAAGATCAAATTCGATATTTCACAACCTGGTAAACGGGTCGGACATGGATAATTGGGCAATGTGATAACTTTTTAAAGTGTTGGTGGTTTTCTAAAATAGGTTCGGGATTTATGATCAAAATTTTGAAAGTAATAGCAGTTTTATGGAATTAATCCCTGTTTTTCATTTATAATATTGTAATTTGAAACTTGTATAATTTAAAATAATATTTAATTTAAAACTTTTATAATAACCTCAATTGTTTTCCCTCGTCTCTTTCACCCATACTATCACCCATACTAGGATGGATACAAATTTCTAAAGGATGAAGGGTGATGACTCATTCCTGCCTGTAGGACAATCAAAACCTTCTTTCAACTTTGAATTTGTAGTTGAAGATCAAACCTTGCTTCTAAATGGAACCTTTGAATCTCTGATAGATCCGACTAGATGTAGAATATCACTCTAAATCACTAGTGTGCTCAAGTGTGTACTCAAAAATATAAAATCAAAATTTCTTGAAATTTTTTTGTCAAAAAGCTTCAATAATGATCTAAATATAATACTTTATTTTTCCCTAATTAAAACATATTAGGTTTCATGTCTTGAAAGGTTTATATAGACGAAAAAGTCGTAAAACATATGGAGATAGATGTTTTAAAATGATAGAAGGACCTTCTTTTTATAAGTTTTGGTGCAAAAGAAGAGAATAAGATTACAATGTACGGGAATTCATAGAGAGGAGATTGTGTATTTCTATCTTTTTTATTATTCCGGTTGGGCTCGGGTGTCTGTGTAATAGTTCAATAAATGAATTTATATATATGGGTTGATTTTCAGCACACTCTTCACATCTTGCTTTAGCGGGAAGCAGAACCAGTGGAAAGGGGAGGTGGGCAATATTTGAGTGTCGTGGTGGTGGTAGTAGTTGGTATTCATCAAGGGAAAAAGTGATCATCAAACACAATCACCAACCTGTAGAACAAGGTAATCTCATAACACTGGCGAGGGACATACTGAAAAAAAGACATTTGAAAAACTCACTGTAATATTGTTTATGTCATATGAGTAACTCCTAGATAAAACCGAAGTAACTCTATACATTTTACCATCAACAACAATGCACTTCAAAAAGAAGGAAATACATTACATATAATAATATGTATTATGTCAAAGTCTTGGACGAGTTAAACTAAGGAAACGAAGGCAAAGAAGGGCGCCAAGGTGGTTGGAAGTAAGGAACTAGTCTATCCTTTGCCGAGACAGTTCCATTTCCATGATACTGAATTGGTTCCAATCTTCTAGTCCTAAAATCATAGCAAAACACCATGCTTCCCCGCCTAAGATACAGAAGCTTTGCATTGCGAGGATGAAAAGCTATCGAACGAATTTGAGGAGGTATGTGAGGAAGAGAATATCACGTGTCAATCGGTAACAAATTAAACTTAGGATAACTTAGAGAATATTTAACTCAGAAGATCCAAGTCCTGCTACCATGACCCCAATTCATGTGAAGAGGAAGAAGACCCATTTATGGGTATTCTTGTAATTTTAAAGTAATAAATATCAACTTTTAATTTAATAGTAAATCATAAGATCAAATTCGATATTTCACAACCTGGTAAACGGGTCGGACATGGATAATTGGGCAATGTGATAACTTTTTAAAGTGTTGGTGGTTTTCTAAAATAGGTTCGGGATTTATGATCAAAATTTTGAAAGTAATAGCAGTTTTATGGAATTAATCCCTGTTTTTCATTTATAATATTGTAATTTGAAACTTGTATAATTTAAAATAATATTTAATTTAAAACTTTTATAATAACCTCAATTGTTTTCCCTCGTCTCTTTCACCCATACTATCACCTATACTAGGATGGATACAAATTTCTAAAGGATGAAGGGTGATGACTCATTCCTGCCTGTAGGACAATCAAAACCTTCTTTCAACTTTGAATTTGTAGTTGAAGATCAAACCTTGCTTCTAAATGGAACCTTTGAATCTCTGATAGATCCGACTAGATGTAGAATATCACTCTAAATCACTAGTGTGCTCAAGTGTGTACTCAAAAATATAAAATCAAAATTTCTTGAAATTTTTTTGTCAAAAAGCTTCAATAATGATCTAAATATAATACTTTATTTTTCCCTAATTAAAACATATTAGGTTTCATGTTTTGAAAGGTTTATATAGACGAAAAAGTCGTAAAATATATGGAGATAGATGTTTTAAAATGATAGAAGGACCTTCTTTTTATAAGTTTTGGTGCAAGAGAAGAGAATAAGATTACAATGTACGGGAATTCATAGAGAGGAGATTGTGTATTTCTATCTTTTTTATTATTCCGGTTGGGCTCGGGTGTCTGTGTAATAGTTCAATAAATGAATTTATATATATGGGTTGATTTTCAGCACACTCTTCACATCTTGCTTTAGCGGGAAGCAGAACCAGTGGAAAGGGGAGGTGGGCAATATTTGAGTGTCGTGGTGGTGGTAGTAGTTGGTATTCATCAAGGGAAAAAGTGATCATCAAACACAATCACCAACCTGTAAAACAAGGTAATCTCATAACACTGGCGAGGGACATACTGAAAAAAAGACATTTGAAAAACTCACTGTAATATTGTTTATGTCATATGAGTAACTCCTAGATAAAACCGAAGTAACTCTATACATTTTACCATCAACAACAATGCACTTCAAAAAGAAGGAAATACATTACATATAATAATATGTTTTATGTCAAAGTCTTGGACGAGTTAAACTAAGGAAACGAAGGCAAAGAAGGGCGCCAAGGTGGTTGGAAATAAGGAACTAGTCTATCCTTTGCCGAGACAGTTCCATTTCCATGATACTGAATTGGTTCCAATCTTCTAGTCCTAAAATCATAGCAAAACACCATGCTTCCCCGCCTAAGATACAGAAGCTTTGCATTGCGAGGATGAAAAGCTATCAAACGAATTTGAGGAGGAATGTGAGGAAGAGAATTACCGATGCCCAAATTCTTGTGACTCACAACTTCCTTCAACAGCCATTCACTGCTTGGTATGATGCGAGATAAACTATAACTAGAAAGCTTCTTTTTGAGCTCCCACACTTTGATCATCAATTTTTCATTTAATGCAAACCGAAGAAGACAACCATCGGAAGACGACGAATGTCCCAGGATATAATCCATAAAGAATCCCCTTTTTCTCTCTTTGCAACAGAGAGGAGGCAGCTCTATCAGCCAGATACGAGTTTCCCCCATGTTGGGATCATAAGCAGCCAATTGACCACTAACTTTCCAGTACAACATCCCATCTACTGAATGGCATACATAGGACTCCTCCACCTCATATGAAAATTCAGATGGACAAGTGAGAAATGATTCGCTCCATTCGCCTGTACGAGAAGAGAAAGTTTCTATATGTAATCTGTCATACGTGCCTCCCACTATCGCTTCCATAATAGCTAGAGTTACTTTGAAATGCACCACACCATCACCATCTTTGCTGCTACATTCTTCAAAAGACAAACCCGCCGAGGATGGAGCATGTCTTGGTTCAGGAAGAGCAAACCATTGGTTTGTGACAGGATTACAAACGTAGTATTTGAAAACCGTGTACCTTTCTAAACGGCATTGAGGAGGCCCGATAGGACATGGGCCGGATATGACTTGCAAACGCGACATTTAGTCCGTACAGGTTGGTCAGGCCCATAGAAAGGCACTGCCATATGGGCCAAACGCGCATAAGCCCATCAAAGAGGACCGGGACTCATGGAGGAACGGGCCTAGATCCAGCAGTCCATCGACATTTGTAAATCTCTATAAATAGGAGAAGTAAGGTAAAGAAAAGGGGAGATCTTTTTGGTTGAGATACAGGAATTCTAGAGAGAGAAAGGGGGAAGGAATTTCTTGTATCTTCAATTGGCGCCGTCTGTGGGAACCGCATGGAAGTTTGGTTGATCAATGAGGAATATCGCGTGGATTCAGACCAATTCGGTTGATCGAGACTCGATCTTTGGGAGTTGGATCCAGATCTGAGCGATTGTGACCTACTCTGGAGGAATTTCAGTTCCTGAAGCTTTGGCAGAAGTGGCTTCAGATCTACGCAACAACGAGTTGTTCGATTGTGGCAGGATCTGACGGATTTAGAATTCGGACAATTCAGATCTCGTCAACTGTGAGCATAATTCGGAGAATTCGAAACCAGATCTGAAAAATTCCCACTCACGAAACTCGGATCTACTCGCGAACTTGAGATTAATGCCTTTACTCCGTTCAGGAATAATGATAGGTGAAAGCTCCAATCCGATGGAGGTTGTCCAGCAAACAAAGCTTGAGGAGTTGATGAACTTGATCGAAGCTCTCAAAAAAGAGAATGCAGAATTGAAAGCTGGAATGCAACATCAGCAAATGCCCGCGGTTTCGCGTCTACCTCTGGCCGGAGAAGGAGGTGTTCAATCTAATATCGCGCATCAAGGCGAACAGGACGAGAACAGTCAGTCGGCTCTCCACCGTGATTTGTCGCCAAATGCTCGTCGAGTTGAGGATCACGAAGGATCAACTCACGTTGATCCGCGACATGAACAGATCAGACAGAATGAAGCCATGACCTTAGATCCACATCGGGAAAGGTTCAACCGAGAGGAGGTGATAGAGGTTGATCGCCGCCAAGTTGCGTCGCCTTGGCAAAGAGAACTCTTAGAGGAACGGTCGTTCGATTCGTCCTACCGGCCTTCCATGGCTACAGTCACTCATCGCGGTTCGGAGAGCAGAACCGTAGCCCACAGAGCTATCACTGGGCGCCAAAGAGAGAATGAAGCGCTCCGATCCGCAGCTCGAACGGTTGATTCACCCTTCACTGACGAGATCCTGAATGCCCCTCATCCAAGGAAGTTTGCTATGCCAGCATTTATTCTGTTTAACGGAACAACCGATCCGATCGATCATGTGTACCATATCCAGTTGAAGATGGCCCTGAATACGGAAAACGATGCTTTAATGTGCAAATGTTTCCCTACAAACCTAGCTGGACCGGCGCTCAGCTGGTTCAAGAACTTGCCTAAGAGCTCCATTGGTAGCTTCCGAGATCTGTGCGATCGGTTCATAAGTCAGTACTATGGGAACAAGCGTCCGCCAAAGGACATCTCAAGCCTATTCACAATGAGACAGCACAAAGATGAACGTCTCCAGGCTTTTCTCACCAGGTTTAATCTCACTAAAAGTATGGTGATCGAATGCCACCCTTCTACAGCGGTTCAAGCCTTCAAGTTAGCCATGACACGTGGCACTCCGTTCCATACCAGTCTGGTAGTGAACACGCCGACGACTATGGATGAACTCAATGAAAGAGCCGACGGCTTTGTGCGCCTAGAAGAAGAGGAGGCAGCCAATGCTCGGACAGCGTCGCTCGTGTCGACCGAGGAGAAGTCCAAGGCAAAGATCAGGCAGAAGCAGGCTCAGCCGCAGCGTCAGACCTCCTGGAAGGCAGAAAAGAGGTCCAGGGAGGAAGAGCTGATCACTCCGCTGAAGGTCACCCTAGCGAGGCTATATCAGGAGAACAAAGATAAGTTTCATCCACCACTGCCAATTAGGCAACCCCTCGAACATAGGGATCAGACTAAACATTGTGCTTTCCATTCCGATTTCGGTCATCAGACTAATGAATGCAAGAATTTGAGAAGGCAAGTGGAGATGTTGATAACTAGAGGGGAGTTTGCGAGTTATGTTCAAGGCTCGGCAACAGAGCAGAATCGACCGATGGAACAAGTAAAAAGGAGCCATAAACAAAGCTCCCACAATTCACAACCAGTTCGTATAATCAATGCTATCCACGGTCGACCCGAGCCCAGCGAAGATTCAGATGAGCTGCTCCGAGCGCGCCTACGGCAGGCGCAGATGAAGAAAAGGGTCAGCAGTGTGAATACTCTACACCAGCAGATCGCATCCATACAGATAAAGTTCGACAGGACAGACCTGTAGCGTGTTCAAGTCCCCATGAAGATCCGTTGGTAGTCAGTTTGACAGTGGCAGACTGCTTGGTGTACAGAGTTCTGATCGATCCCGGGAGCAGTGCGAATGTCATGCCGAGGGACACATTTGATCGGCTCGAGATTAAACCAGAGAGGCTCAAGCCCACTGGAAATCCCTTGTTAGGGTTCGATGGCAAGAGGGTGGAGCCCGTCGGAATGGTGGAAGTAGAAGTTCAAGCTGCAAAACGAACTCTTATGGAAACTTTTGTGGTTGTAGATATTCACCCCTCGTACAATCTCCTGATGGGAAGAGGATGGATTCACAGAGTCCAAGGAGTACCCTCAACTTTGTATCAGGTCATGAAGTGCCTCGGACCTGATGGAAATAAGGTAATAGATATTCGTGGGGATTAGGTTGCAGCCAAAGAGTGCTATTCCGTCACACTAAAGTATGCTGGGAAAGGGAAGGCGCCCGTCCGACCGGCAAGCCCCAGATAGCAATTACAGGAACCTCCGCCCAAGCAGAACAGGGTGGAGGGGTTAGTTGACTTGACCGAGGAGCCCCTTCTGGATGTGCAGATCGATTAGTCCAGGCCAGAACGAACTACCAGAGTAGGAATAAGACTGACCATGGAAGAGCGGGAAGAGCTAGTTGACTTCTTGTCTCACAATGCCGATGTATTTGCATGGAGTCACCTAGACATGCCTGGAATTAATCCCTCCGTGTCCTGTCATTCTTTGAATGTCAATCCCAATTTCAAACCAGTAAAACAGAAGCAACGAAGATTTGCTCCAGAACGCAACCAAATCAGAATCGAGGAAGTTGATAGGCTGCTTGATGCCGGATTTATCAGAGAAGTACACTACCCTGATTGGTTGTCCAACGTCGTTGTCGTGCAGAAGAAGAATGGGAAATGACGAGTATGCATTGATTTCACCAATTTGAACAAAGCCTGTCCGAAGGATAGCTTCCCGCTGCCAAAGATTGATCAAATGGTGGATGCTACCACCGGGTATGAACGCTTAACCTTTCTGGACGCTTATTCAGGTTATAATCAGATCCCTATGGACCCGGCAGATGAAGAAAAAACTTCTTTTGTAACCGAGCGAGGGACATACTGCTACAAAGTTATGTCTTTCGGACTAAAGAACGCGGGAGCAACTTATCAAAGACTTGTTAGCAAAATTTTCAAGGATTAAATAGGAAAGATTGTGGAAGCCTATATTGATGATATGGGGGTAAAGAGTAGGAAGAAGAATGATCATCTGAAACATCTGCAAGATATATTTGATGTGCTGAAGCGATACGGTATGAGGCTCAATCCAACCAAGTGCTCGTTCGGTGTGAGTTCCGGTCAGTTTTTGGGACACGTGGTCAACCGCAGAGGCATCGAAGTTAGCCCCGCTCAAGCAGAGGCTTTGATTAAGAATGCCGAGCCAAAGACGATCAGAGAGGTGCAAGCCCTCACAGGACGAATAGCTGCATTAAATCGATTTATTTCAAAATTGTCAGACCGTTGCAAGCCGTTCTTTGACACGATTCGGAGTCATGGAAGACAGGTCTGGGGAGATGAGCAACGACAAGCATTGACCCATTTGAAGGAATATATGCAGAATCCACCAGTCCTGTCAACCCCGGATCCAGAAGAAAAGTTATTTTTATATCTTGGAGTATCTAGTGTTGCGACAAGTGCCGTTCTGATTCGTTGCAAGGAAGGCGTGCAACACCCGGTATTTTATGTCAGTAAAACATTGACCGAGGCAGAACGAAAATACTCGAAGGCCGAACAGGTGATACTTGCACTGGTAAACGCAAAAAGAAAGTTGAGGCATTATTTCGAATCCCACCCTATAGCTGTTCTAACAACTTTCCCAATCAGAATACTTATGCACAAGCCAGAACTCTCGGGCAGAATGACAAAGTGGGCCATAGAGTTAAGTTCATTTGACATAACATATGAGCCGAGAACAGCTGTCAAAGGACAAGCGGTAGCCGATTTTCTGCTAGAATGTGATTCTGAAGATACGGAAGAAGACCTCAGGTGCGGCTCTTGGAAACTTTATGTGGATGGCTCCTCTAATCAGATGGGGGCTGGCATTGGGGTTAAACTGCAAACCCCAGAGGGTACTTCTTTGAGTCAAGCACTTAGACTTGAGTTCCGAGCCACCAATAACGAAGCGGAATACGAGGCGTTGCTGAATGGGTTAAAGTTGGCCAAAGAGCTACAGGTCAGAAGTTTGACTGTTTATAGTGACTCACAGTTGATTGTTCGGCAGGTAAATGGTGAGTACGCGACCAAGGATGACACGATGGGGGCATATCGTTCTGTCGTTCTGCATAAAGCCAAGGCCTTTGCAAAGATTGAATTCATACAGTTACCGAGGGAACAGAATGCAGATGCGGACCGGTTAGCATGTAGTGCTTCGAGTTCCGGTGAAACATTGGCGAGGGTGATTCCAGTAGGAATATTGACCCAGCCATCTATTTTCGAAGAACCCTTGGACTCTGACCCTTGGCAAGTCAACGTCATACCGTATGAACCGAGTTGGATTGACCCCATCATTACTTATATTCGAGATGGCGTTTTGCCTATGCAAAGGGATGAAGCTAGGAAACTCAAAAAGAATGCTGCAAAGTACGCCATCGTGCATAACCAGTTGTACAGAAGATCCTACTCTGGCCCATACTTGAAGTGTGTCACCCCCGCGGAGTCG